TACCAGCACAAGTGTCCTTACAGTTGGAAGAGCAGGAAGCGTGTATACCATCACAGGTGGAAGATCAGCATAAATTGAACCTGAAATGATGACTCTGTGCAAGAAGATCCAGAATTGGAAGGTGCATTACATAAGGTGGAGTTGAACCAATGTACAACGATTGGAGAAATAACTACAGGAAGGCCAGGAAAATGGGCAAACCTTCCGAGTACTTATGGTTGTTCCAAGGTTGGAATTCTGATGTTCTTAACGTGTATACAAATGTCCAAGGGAGGGCACTTGAGAGACATGAAATCCTTGGAGCATTTGAAGCAAAGGTTTTATTGGACTGGTTGTCAATCAGCTATAGAAAGATTGCGAAATATGCTGAGAACATTGTAGCTAAGGATCAAATCCAGGAGTCATGGGCAGATGAAACAGCACAATTCACGTGCGCCAGTTGAGAAAATAGGCGTGTATGAAGATGGTCCATTCCACCAATAAATTAGGAAATAGTCATTTTTGGTAGTCAAGAACCATTTCAATGAATGGCCCCAAGTATACACAATTCCTAACCAGAGACTGAACCAGTGGCGGAGGCATTCATCAAAAGTGGGTAACGAGATTCGGTGTTCCAATGGAGTTACGTTCTGATCAAGAATGGAATCTCGAGTCAGCTTTAAGTCAAGGATGTACCAGAAACTGAGTATCCGGAAACGAATAGATAAACTCAAGAAGAAGGGCGGCTAACGATGTCAGCACCAGCCTAGAAGACGAGATGGGGACATAAAGCTTTGTGTTTGGTATCACAAATATGTCTAATCGAGACGATCAGACTTATGGAGGGCAGTGTGACGAACATAGATAATAGAATAAATACGAATGAACATAAACTATCAGAAGCAACTAGTTAGCGAATTCGTAGTTGCCAGAATGTTCTAGAAGCAATGTTGTTACAGATTTACTATATAACGCTGCCGGATTGTGCAGCAAACACAGTTCTAGTTAGAGTGTTGTCGTGATAAGAGCAATTAAGCTATAAGTAAGAAGTTGTAAGCTCGAATAACGAGCAATAAGTGTTGTGTGGAATAAGAAATAAAGATAAGTGTGTAGCCATTAAATTGGGACTTTTATTTAACAATCCTGTGATCGAACTCAAGAGTGAATTACAGGTGACGATTTATCGAGAAATCCGTTGCAATTGGTTGTCAGAAGTGGATTGTCAAATAAATTCCCAAGGAGATAATTATTTGAAATGGCCAAGTTTAACGATCTGAAATTCCACAACTGAAAAGGAGCTGGAGCAACGTGGTTTGGCGACAAATGGATAAAACATGAATTACAATCACGGTGATCGAGGCCATGGAGGCGGAAAACATTAATGTTGAGAATATGTCTTACATGAGAATTAGAAGAAGAGAAACAAAAGATAGAAGAAAAGGAAGGGCTCAATGCTCGTCAAAGATTGTGGACATAAACATGGTTTTGCCGCAATATCGCAATATCGACACAAATAAAGAGCAAGAAACGCGATTGTCAACTGTCATTTGAAGAGCTGTTCGCAGCGCAACGTGCACGTTTTTCAGCACAGTTGTCAGCACCGAAAGAGCTCGACGTGAATATGTCAGCGCAGGTATCTCACAGTTGGAAGACGAGAAGCATTGTGAACCATTATCTTCACAGTATGAAGAGCGAAGCGTTTTATACCAGCAAAGTGTATTCGCAGTCGGAAGAACTGAACGGGCGTATGCCAGCCAGGTGTCCTCACAGGCAGAAGAGGAGGAAGCGTGTGTACCAGTAACAGGGTTCCAGTCGAAAGAGCTGGGAACTGCGTATTCAGGGCAGGTGTTCCCCAGTTGGAAGAGGAGGAAGCGTTGTGAACCATAGAAAGGTTCCTCACAGTTAAGACAAAAAGCTTGGGATACCAGCACAAGTGTCCTTACAGTTGAAGAGCAGGAGCGTGTATACCATCAAGGTGGAAGGATTCAGCATAAATTGAACCTGAAATGGATGACTCTTGCAAGAAGATCCGAATTGGAAGGTGCATTACATAAGGTGGAGTTGAACCAATGTACAAGATTGGAGAAAATAACTACAGGAAGGCCAGAAAAATGGGCAAACCTTCGAGTACTTATGGTTGTTCCAAGGTTGGATTCCTGATGTTCTTAACTGCAGTTACAAATCCAGAGGAGGGCACTTGAGAGGACATGACGACAACACTCTAACTAGAACTGTGTTTGCTGCACAATCCGGCAGCCGTTATATAGTAAATCTGTAACAAAACATTGCTTCTAAAACATTCTGGCAACTACGAATTCGCTAACTAGTTGCTTCTGGTAGTTTATCGTTCATTCGATTTTGTTCTATCATCTATGTTCGTCACAATATTATGAACTTAATTTTACATTTTAAATATAAGAAAAAGGTTTTATGGCTTAAATGTATGTTTTATTGCATCTGATAATTTCACAAATGGATCATGATGCTGATTTACTATATTTTTACGCCATATGTATTCATATATCAAATTTTCAAAATCTTCACTGTTATTATAATTATCCTTAATAAAAATTGAAGTTTATAGAGAGTGATATATTCTCTTTAACATTACTTTTTTTTTGTTAAGATTTTTTATTTGCACTGGCGGCTTCGGCCGCGCTTCAAAAAAATAACCCCGGTCGGTCCAACACCGGGGTGTTCATAATTCAATCGCGTCAAACTCCTTTCTGCACTGGCGGCCTTCGGCCGCGCTTCAAAAAAATAACCCTGGTCGGTCCAACACCGGGGTGTTCATAATTCAATCGCGTCAAACTTCTTTTAGCACTGGCGGCCTTCGGCCGCACTTTTAAAAAATAACCCTGGCCAATCCAATACCATAATTTATCAATAGAAGGGAATGAACAAAATTATAGTTCATGTATTTGGGGTATAATCCTCTTTTATTGTTCATTTTAATTCGCTTTCAACATATATATTTATATATATATATATATATATCAGATATGGCAACACTTATAATCTGACAACATGAAACCCATTTGTTATTGTTCATATTACGAAAATTGTGTAAAAATTATATGCTTATTTAAAGCAAATACTTAAATATTTAATATAAAATAAATATGTAGAAACATTGAAGGGAAAAGTTAGTGTATAACAAGTGCATAATATAAAAGAAAAGATAACCATAAATCGAGAAATTGTCAAATGAAATTTATGAAATTTTCAACTTAAAATGCAAATATCTCGAAAACTATAAGTTTCCGGCGACCATACCCGTCTTAACCCTGAAATCGTGGGATGCTAAACTAAAGCCCACTCGCGTTTGTTATCCGGACAAACTTCTAAGCGATATTTCTTCTCACCACCTCTTTCAATCATTCCCCAAATTATCACATGTTAAGTACATTCAATTCTATGAGTAATTAAATCACAATAAATCCTGATAAATCAGGAGACACTGTGATTCAATTACTTATAGAATTGAACCACAATAAATATCAATAACTCACCAAAGATCCAAGAACTTTCTTTTATGCTACCTCAATTATATTTTCTTCTTCCAAGTTTTGCTTCATCAATTTCTACTATAATTCCAGGTCCACCAATCAAACCTTCTTCTTCTTTTTGTTTATCAAGCGATATCCCACAAATTTCCCCACAAAATCTCCCCTTAGTTTTCATTGCTGGGTCAGACGTTAAATTAATTTTGTATTCTGGGTTGGAATAAACTGCATCAATTTTTCTCTTATTACTGGTACTTTTAGCAGGGATTTCATACGCAATATTTGTTATAGTTACAGGAGAACATTTAAAGTTTTTAATGCCTTTTAATATTTCTACCGATGCATGCATGACGCTGACCACCTTTTTCAGACGACTTTAAATTATTAGGCCCACCTCTGTTTAAGAAATATATTGTGACGAACGCGGATGATAAAACAAAATCGAACTGACGATAAATTAACAGAAGCAACTAGACACCGAATACGTAGTTGCCAGAATGTTCTAGTAGCGAACTTTTGGTAAGATTTATTATATAAGGGCTGCCGGATTGTGCAGAAAACACAGTTGTAATAAGAGTGTTGCAGTGTAAGGAGAATTAAGTTATAAGCAATAAGTTATAAGCTCGAATAACGAACAATAAGTGTTAAGTTGTTGGGATAAGAAATGCAGATAAGTGTATAGCCATTAAATTGGGACTTTTATTTAACAATCCAGTGATCGAACGCAAGAGTGAGTTATAAGTTTAAAATATTTTAAATTTTTTATCATATTCTTTTTAATTACAAATTTAAAATCCGTCAAAACCTGTAAATAAACCAATAATATATAAATATATAAAATAATAAAAATCTCTTAAATATATATATCATATTGAATTTTGTTAATGTGTTTTTGTCTCCTGTATCAACATATACGCATTTACACATAATATTTGATTTATTTTATCAAATCGATAAGTGAATTCAACTTCATAGAAAATTTTGTTTTCGATACGGTTTCAATGATTTCAACGTAATTTGTTTCGATCGAATCGGGAAGTTCTTCGATCGCAACGTATTCAATGATTACACTCAATATTTTAAGATATTTTGTTGTTAAAATTAATTTGGCTTTATTTTTCTGGATTATATATATTTTATTTTAGTTGATTTTAGTTTTTTGCATCAGCTGATTAGTGTCAAACTCATAGAAAACCAATTTGTCTTTATTTTCCTGCTTTGTGTATCACTATGTTAGTACATGGTTTCCTGAGCTTTTATTGTAGTACACATCGTAGTACGAAAACCATATGTCTGTCATTAGCATAAAATTCTAACTCCGAACATCACCACGAAAAATGCGAAAATATTACTATCATCTATCAGAATTTTAATTTTTCTACCGATTGGCACAGTGTCTTATCTAAAATTTGGTGGGTTGTCCGAACGAAAATAGTTTTTATTACATTGGCATCACCGTGATTTTACTCCATTGTTACATTTCTATGTGGTTAAAACTAACTAACCTTTTTTCAGCAATTGTATGGGTACAACTTCAAATAATAGATTTCATTGGTATCGATTTTGTGGTGAAAAGACAAATCTTAGTCTCGAGAAGTCAGTGGAAATTTGAAATGGATGCGTAAGTAAAGAAAAAATTGGTCAGCACAGAAGTATATCGAAATGAAAGTAATGAAAATGTATGGAGTAGTTTTTCATATATAATATATATTTCAGTTTAAAAGATGAGGTAGAATCTCTAGAGGCTATATTAATGGAAGATGTGAAAATAACAAAGAATTTAGAAAGGTACTAAGTTTAATTTTATTCCTACATTTTATACATATTTAGGTACTTGAACAATATAAATATACGTTTTCAGTGGTTTGCCAGAACTTATTGAAACTACTGTATTTCCCCAAGTTGGAGACGAAGCTGAACAATATATATGTGTGACACTTCAAGTAAGCCCATCATCGAATTATCCTGAAACAAGTCCTCACTATAAACTATTACGACCACGGGGCTTAGATGATGAACGTTTGGAAGAAATTAAACATGCATGTAACGAAAAATTGCAGGAATCTGTTGGCTTTCCAGTAGTTTTTGATTTAATTGAAGTTGTTCGGGAGCATTTAACTGGAAGTAACTTACCCAGTGGGCAATGCGTAGTTTGTCTATATGGGTTTAGTGACGGCGATGAATTTACTCGCACAGAATGCTTTCATTATTTACATAGTTATTGTTTGGGACGACATTTAAATGCGCTGCGGCGAACGTATACAGAAGAATATGACAAATTGCCCAGTTGGCTCCAAAAAACTGTGGATCCTTTTCAAGCTCTATGTCCCGTCTGCAGAGAACCCATTAAAGATGAGGAGGATAGTTTGCGTTGTGCCATGCCTCCATCGGAGTTGGAAAAAGCCCCCGAATTCAAGTTAACACGCGAACTTCAGGATCTTCAGCATCGCATGTCGACATTATTTTTGAAGCAAAAAAATAAAGGCGGAATTATAGATGTAGACGCAGAAAGTGGAACCGTGATATCTATCGAAAGTGAGGAAGAGATAAGAATGCGATTACAAAGTAAAAAAACGTTTGGTAATAAGAGTAAAACGGAGAACACTTCTGCAGAAAGTGATGTAGTAAACATTGAAGAAAATGGAGCCATTGGAGGTCGTAAGAATAATTCTGGAACATCATTGTTTTCAGATCATAAGGTAAGAGTTTTACAATAAATTTCCAAATGTTTTGTACAAAAGATAGATCAGATTGGGGTAAATTTAGAATAGATTTCCCCGAGTTCAGGGTTAAAATGGGTATAAACGGATAGATTAGGCTCTCCAGGTTAAGAAAATAATATAGTTGCCGCTGACTTATGGTTTTGAGATATTTGCATTTAAATATCAAAAATTCAACTTTTTTTCCTTAAGGAGACGTTAATTCATCCTATTTTGCAGGAGCCAACTTGTTCCAAATCTTCAGGCACTTCAAGTTGTGAGCCCGTTGAACAAGACACAAATAGAATGTGTAGTGAATCCTCTAACAACAATTATCATCATCACAATCGCCGCCATTATAGAGGAGGTAGGCGTCATCAACACCATCATCAACATTATCGCGGTGAACGGGAACGAGACCGTGATCGAGGCAATGAATACGTTCTCAGCAGTGCTGGGCATAATACTAACACACCTTCATCCACTGGTAGTAAATCGGTAAAGGCTCAGATGGCCAACAATATCCACGGCAGGTGACGATTAGTACGAGTTAAGACGAAGCATTATTGCGGGGCTAGAATTTCGAATTATATTTCGTCACGTTGTCAGCAGTTCGATGAAAATACATTTGGTATTTGTAGTGCCGACATACTTGGCAAACAGCTTCTATATACTTAACCACAGCCGATTTGAAATATAACTGAGATTTGGTTTACCTTCTGTATTATCGAGATTGAGTTGATCTCAATATTGTTTACCGATATACTTCTTATGTATATAATTGATAGAGTTAAGTGACGTGAACCATTCTATTGCTATATCTACTTTTATATTAATTTTTAAATGAGTACGTATTTTCTTTAAGTTTTATAGTTACTACAACGCACACATATTTATAAAATTATAATAAGTGCAAATATTTAGGGTAAAACACTACAGTTTAGAGTTATTTCTTTTTTATTAAGCAAATATAACAATATTAATATTTTAATAAAATTGGGTAAAACTAACCCATTAACATATCTTCCATTGTTATAAATATAGTTCGTCTGTAAAATAATTTTTGCAAGCCAGAGAAAATGAATTACATGATGAACATTCGGGGAGTAAAATCTGTATAATACTTCCCGACACAAAATGTTAAAAAAGAAATCTTTATAACTTCGTTTGTTGACCAGGGAATTGGACCTAGAATTTTAAACAGAAATTTTGGTAGTTAAACAATACATATTTCCATACATAGATAAGACATATATGTACAAGTATGTATGTTCTTTCAATGCATTAATTGTTACAGATACTTAGTAATATTGAACGCTGATAAATAGAATGTGTCAATAATATAACTGATAAATTAGAATTCATGTAATTTTGTTTTGTTCTGTGTTAATTTTTATTAATTTATATTTTTTAATTATAAATATTTGTGTGATCAACTGAAAATCAAAACAACAATAACGATTTATCTAAATTACTATAGTAACATAAGTACGCCAAACATTGAATTAATTTATTTGTACTTCTGGACTGCTAATCCCCACTTTGAGGAAAGCGCCAGCATACAAGTATAATATATATTTTTTTAATATATTCTAAATTGAAAGTTTAGAATTCTTATTTTGTATGAGCCTAGATAAACTTTAAAATAATTTGAGATCATAAATTATTTAAAAATTAACTGCTAACTAACATGCATCTATCTCATGAGAATGATAAGATATACTTATACATCTGTGTATGTATGCATGCAGCTTGTATCTTTTAAAAAGATTAAGACGAATACTGATGAATTGTTGTTATTTGCATTAAATATATACATGAAACTTTATGTCAAGAAATCCTGGATTGGCGTGTGCATATTTTTACATAAACAACCCATATAGATTAAAAAAAACTCATCAAAACTAATAAATGGTAATTGTGTTCTACCTGTGTTGATATAAATTATATGCAAGTGTCAAAAATAAAAGAATATGTTTTCGATACGTCTGATATCTTGTAAGACGTACTTATAAATGTGTTACAAAGATAAAGCCTACATAAAGGTATGAATGTATTCAGTTTCTTAAGTAGACGATGTTATAATGTCATTATTATACATAGTTCGCTTAATATTAATAAATTAAATTTTATCTCCCAAAGGAGCGGAATTCTTTCTTATTTCATATTGTTACGCCTGCTCTTTTTGATGGGAGAAATCACAACGGGTAAGTCTGGTCGGCGTATTGTTCTATGTCATCGTGAATATGGTTTTGAATTTAATGGTTGATGAGGTGATGGAAATTTTATCTGTTGGTTTCGAGATATTTTCGTGCCAATCTAATATTCCTGGGAATACACTTTTTGAGTAACATTAAATGTTTGCAGCGTTTTGCTCCTCTTTATTTTAGTTTTTGTGTTTTAATCCACTGTGCACAAATACGGTCTTCATAATATTTAAAACTTCAGGTATCGTAGGTTGCGTCAGCCCAAAGCTAAAATCATTTAAAAATCATTCTTGATAACTACCGGCAGCATGGAATCGGAGTGTTTGTGGTAATGTTCCTTCATCTCATTAAATTTAAAAAAAAAAGATCCTTCAATTAAACGAAAATATCATTAGAATTTTCAACAAACATTATTTTAAAGCCATGTCATCGTACTATAAATCAAAACTAATATCCAGCTGCGAACACCTTGCGTAATTGACGTTTGTGTAAGAATGGGTCGTACTCGGTACATTCTGTGGAACCGATTCAGTTAGCCTTGTTGAAGTTAAAAAATGGCAGTTGTTCACAGAAATAAAGTCAGGAGGTCTCTCGATCGAAATAATTATGGGTAGATGGTATTATGCAAGAGTTAGCATAGGCCACCAGGTTACGCTATTTATCAGACAACCACTAGCGATGGTAATATCATGCGAGTTATTACAGTTAGTGATCAGACTTGAATGTCTATATTCCGTCTAGGAATTCCTATATCAGACTAGCCAATAACAGTAATAGCTCGTCTGATATTACCATACTGAACAGTTGAGCTCCTTGAGACGGTAGAGGTCTTTTGTTGGCCACTCAACTGGGCCACTTATCTTAAAGTCCTCTGTATGTGTCTTAAGGCCTAAGCAGGTCAGGAGTTTGAATGGAGCCTTTTGGCGTAAACGCAGCAGAAATACTTTCCTGGCTTGGGTTGGACTCAATGTCAGCACAGATTAGGAGCAAGCAGAAGAACCCTGCTGCTAGGTATTGCTTCAATGATGACAAGCTTAACTTAAAACTTTCCCGTTCAAACAGGGTTAGGGCGCAGAAATAACAGCTCTTGGTCAGATTCAATCCGGGTCAACCGGTAACGTAGAACCGACTGCTGTGGGAAGTAATAAGTAGGCCTACCGTAGTGGTACGAAGATCGGCATTTTGGTAAGTACATCGATCTTTCAATTGTGTATTCCTTGGGGTGATAACTTTGATAGAGGATAAGTAGTTTAAAAACTCCCATCAAAGGCTTTACGAAATGAGAGAAAGAATTTCACGACTGTGTTATTGCTTTTACTTCTTAAGCTTACACCCTCTCGTTGCTGTAAGAAGAACCTATCGAAGGGTACACTATATTTTTTTAGTACTGGGTTCATAGTGGTCGAGATTTGGTATTTGCGGCCAAATTTCATATAGATTGCCGTCAAGCCGCTCGTGTTCGTGGTATGCAATCGATTACCATTCATGAAGGTGTTGACTGCTTCTATATGGAGAGCTTTGATGGAGGTGGTCGTCAATATAGTTTATGAACACCGTCACGGTCTTCCCAGGAGGCGATTCTAATTTTGACAACATGCGCTCAATTACTCTACATGCTATCCCTATTGTAGTGTAGAGTTGAGCCGCAACAAAAACAGCTAGACGATAACCGGCAGTATACAATTACATGACAATAATTGTATACAATTAACCCCAAAGTATCTGTGGCGTCAAAGTAGTTGGTGGAAGGGTTGAAATGTGTAAAATAATTTTATTAATGTGTACGAACAGATGGAAATGGGAAGCATATACCTTCATAAACATAGCTTACAAAATCATACATATGTTCAATAGACTTGGATTCATTAGCAGATCAGCTGAAGTTATTGTTATATTGTTGAATTATATTATTATTACATCGGATTTTCCATGCTTTTCGACCAAAACATAACGTAGCTTCAACATCTAAAACGTTAATGGCTTTTCCGGTAAGTAGAATGTTTCAAATCTGGAGCATCCTACAAAGCTGCCATTCAAACTGACCAATCAAAATCAGGAAAATCTTCATAAAATATCTTTTTTCCCTTTTTATTAACCTTAATTCGTCTTGAAGGCTGTTCATATCATCAAAAAGATCTAAAACCAGTAAGGAAGAGCTAAGTTCGGATGTACTCTCGCTAAGTCAAATGGTATACTCGTTTGAGATTTTTATACTCTCGCAACCTGTTGCTACAGAGTATAATAGTTTTGTTCACCTAGCGGTTGTTTGTATCACCTAAAACTAATCGAGTTAGATATAGGGTTATATATATATAAATGATCAGGATGAAGAGACGAGTTGAAATCCGGGTGACTATCTGTCCTTCCGTCCGTGCGGACGTGCGGTTGGTATTGCAGATGGGCGTAATCGGACCACTGCCACGCTCACAAAACGCCATTAATCAAAAACAAATAAATTGCCATCACTAAGCTCCGCAATAAGATACAAGACTGGTACACAGGATCACATTAGGAAGGAGCATCTGCAGTTAAAATTGTTTTTTTTTTAAGTAGGCGTGGTCCCGCCCCTAATAGGTTTAATGTGTATATCTCCTAAGCCGCTAATGCTATAATAACAAAATTCACTGGAAGCAAATGTTTTTAGCACCTCTATTGACGGTGTCAAAATGGATAAAATCGGGTGACAAACCCGCCCACTCCCCATATAACGGTACTGTTAAAAAATTCTAAAAGCGCGATAAACCAAGCACTAAACACGCCAGAGACATTAAATTTTACCTCTGAGATGGTATGAGATGACTTTATAGAAACCGCGTTCAAAATTAGGTAAAAACCCACTTTTAGGTAAAAACCCATATCTTGGGATCTGCTTAACCGATTTCAACCAATAACCCAATCGGTGCATAACGTTCCTTTCATATTTCTATGTTATAGTGGAAAATGGGACTACAACCATGCCTATTTCCCATATAACACATTTACAATTCCATCTGATTCTTTCACTTTCCACTATGCATATCAAGCAACAATGATTATATCGGGGTAAAACTTTGCGTGAATAATACGTTTAAAGTATGCCACCTTGTGACCAAAAATTGTCTAAATCGAACCAAAATTGTTGAGTCTTTGAGAAATTTGGGAAATAGTGTTATATTAAACTCTCGAAGAGCTCAAAAGCAGTGAAAAAGGCGAAATTTGAACGTTAACGTATGAAATTAGCGGGAAGTTGCAGGGATGGCCCTTGAGGCCAACTGTTTTCCACATTTTTTTATTTTTTATTAATGGCGTTTTGTGGGCGTGACAGTGGTCCGATTAGGTGCATATGCAATACCAACCGTCTTACGGTACCAAGAAACATGTGTATCAAGTTTCATAAAGATATCTCAATTTTTACTCAAGTTGCAGCTTGTACGGACGGACAGACAGTCACCCGGATTTCAACTCGTCTCTTCGTCTTGATCATTTATATATATAATATATAACCTTATATCTAATCCAATTAGTTTTAGGTGATACAAACAACCGTTAGGTGAACAAAACTATTATACACTGTAGCAAAAGGTTGCGAGAGTATAAAAATGTTGCAAACCATTGGGAGGTTACGTTTTCAGTTATACATACAGTTGCTAAACAGTTAAAAGAAATGTATCTGTAAAAAATATTATAACTTGTGCAACCGAGGTTAACGTAACGAGGTTTGCAGTATCTTATTTTTATGAACCATTTACTGCTGAGTTTTTCAATCCAAAATTTAGCCGTTATGCTTGAGTTGCAGAGAACGTGGAATATATAGAACGTTCATGCCGATTGTCAAAATGAAATGTGTGTTGCATACTGAAACAAATGAAACAACATTATTATCAAAAATGATAGAAGACAAGACTGTGACAAATGTTATAAAAACAATTTGCACCATAAAAATTCTTGTGACGTAATACTTATAGAATGAGAAGAAGAAGCATAGAAAAACTTTCAAATAGTGTTTTCTACGTTACCTCTTCTCATTCCAAAAGAATTACAGGAGATGAATAACGGATGAATTCTGTTGACGTAATCTTGTCTTCTATCATTGATTGTTCTTTACAGAAGGCTACAAAAAAGAGTCTACTTAAAAACGCCAATATTCAGGGGTATTCTAGAATCTGATTACTGTGATCTCTTTATTTCGTCCTTTTAATTTTTTCTTTACATTATTTATACAATAAAATAGAAGCTAAAATAGCAGAACTTATTGCAAACTTTATTAGAATCGCTTCCAAATTTATTAATTTGCAAGTTTTGCCACAAAAACTAAACAGCTGATTCGAATTTTTGTTTTGCGTATGTTCGAATAAACGAAATTCCAATCAGATTTTGAAACATCATTGAAAATCAGAATTGGTTTGCATTTCTGACAACTAAGCAAATTTGTCTTGGACTCCACAACACCTCTGAATAACCACGTTTAAATTTTTGGGATGTGTTTAACAAGTATTTGGCAAGCCTTGCTTAAATTTTTTACAAAATCGTTATATGAAACAAAAACATTGGAAAGCAACGACACTTATGCTGCTACCAACGCAAAACCGTAGACCGTATCTGCTGATACGAGCTATCTTCTGAGAGCGCAATGTAAATGAACACTCGCCACAGCGGCTTCCGCTGGTACCAAAGATAAAAGGATGCCCAACTGATTCCAGTGTGAGAGCGCCTCAAAATTTGCTTTTTTATAACATTTTCCTTTGTAGTCAGATCGGTCAACGTAATAGTTTTTGGGCATCTAAATTGAAATACCCAATATTAGAATAAATAATAATATTCTTAATCATGTATATTATATAGGGTGCGTTCGAGCTACGTAATAATTGTAGCAGGACAGCTACAGTACTGCATATTTGCTGATACTCTACTAATGTGCAGACAAAAATTTAGTGTTGCCGATTATTTGCATAAATTGC